AACATGTGACTTTTCCTATCTCACCACTTAAGCTTGATGTGTAAAAATACTGCTGATTTGTTTTGTGGCTTTAGTCGTCTCTGCTTCTCTCCAGTAAAGTTTCCTGCTTTGTGAATCTGTCTGTGTTGTTGCTGTTGTTCGTGGCACATGCTCTGTTAAAATTGTGCTTTATTGAACACACAATCTTTAGGACAAGATGAACCTTTATTGATCCTCATGGTAAATTCTGTTGTTGCAGCAGCAAGGACAGAAAACAGTACAGAAAGTAAAATAAATACATAATAAAATATATGAAACTAAAGTAAGACAAGAAAAAGAAACTGAACAAGAGAATCTGGGGACAAAATTACAGGTAAGGTGAGTGGTGTGGTTAAACAACAAACATAATATATGAGTAAGTAATGGTACTTCGTTGTTGTCTGTATTAATATATCTCTAAAGATGTAATAGAACAATAATATATAAGAGGTAATAGTGGCAACAAAGATGATATATGTTGAAAATGTTGATATAAAAATTAGTAGAAATAAGAGCAGAAATTGTTAGTAGTTTCAGAATATTGTGCTTTCTTGTAGTACTTTTACTCCTATATTTCCATATGTCATATATCTCCTCCATACTGCTGTATATCACCTGTGTGGTTCATATCCAACATGTCTAGCTCAACCACATCAAACCACCCAAATCATCAGGAATGCTCTCAAGGAAAATAAAGTGTTTTAAAGAGTTTTACATTTTACTTTCAAGAAGTGTCCGTCTTCACTAGATTGGAGCACTGAAAAGCTTAATTTTATTTTATTTATAAGATGACTGCAGTTCCTTTTCTGTACAATGTTACTGCAAAAGCCCTCGTGTTGGCAAACATCTGCCCTACTGAAGTGTTCTTGAGCAACTCCATTTCTTTACCAGTTGACCCGTCTTTACCTCTCCAGGGCTAAACGCAATCAAGATCTCTGCCAGTGGAGTGAGAAACCAGAAGGATTCCTCGCCAGGAGAAAAATTCAAAAACTCACAAGAAATCCTCAACTACATCTGCACAACATGTTGTTAGAGCCTGTTTATTCTGGCATTTGGTGAATAATAATCATAAAGATGTTACAAGATGTTCTTTTATGAAACAAATTCTAAGTAGCGCCTCAAACAGGAGACATACAACCATTACACAACTGCAATAATACCATAAAACCCAATAAGATTACATAAATGCTGGGAGTCAAAGCTGTTACTGAGCTATATTAACGTTCTTAGAGGGAACTGTAGCTCCCATAGTGACACTGACAATAACCTTTTCATAGATTCCACTGTTGCACATATTCCCAATAACTCCCAGGCAACAGACAGTAACGACTTGCTGCCAGTCTGGTCTAATTATCTGTTTAATTGTTCAAAATCAGGCTGAAAGAAAATTATGACCACAGTTTGACCCAAAGTCCTAATCTCGAACCACTTTACCTTAATAAAACCTTTTTTATCCTGACTTGTACTTACCTGGGTGTAGTTGAAAATAAATGAGGCACATTCCTTGTATGTGTCCTGTGTGTATGTGTAATATTTTTCAGGCTGTGTCACCCTTTGGTATGCGGCTGCTTCTTCAGTGTGAAGTCCCTCTGTTGACCAGCAGATAATACACATATGACATACACCGGGTTTAAATCTGCCTAATATCTTTACGTGCATATTGTCAACTTGAATAGTATGATCATAATCATGCTCTTATATTGTTATTGTGTATAATATTACACACAAGTAAAAGGACAAAGCAGTTGTGAGAATATGACTTTATTCCACACTTTTTTTCTATAGTCGGTTACAACAAGATTTCACAAATATAGTTACTCAGTTATTCACCACAGAGAACATTTATAGTTGTGACAACTGTATTTCACATCATCATTAAATGCAGTTATGTTACAACAGCTTGTTTGGAGGCAGCCACATGTTGCATTTCATATTTCTTCTGTGTTATATTCCTTAAAACACAACCTTGCTTTCACTCTTTGCAATAGCTTTCTCATTGGACAATAATATAGTAAATCTTATTACCTCAAGGTCTCTGAGCTCAACTCAAAGGACTGTGCTAATTTCAAAGTATAACTACTGGCAATTTGCTCAAAATCCCACAAACATAATTTCAGACACAAAATAACAACAGAAGAAGTTCCTCTTTATCCTGAACAGCTTTATCTGAAATCCAAACACTGAATCTGTCTGTAAAGGCAAAAGTGCAAAAAGTCCAAATCCAGCTTCTATTAGCTAAATGTGAGGAATATTTACATATCAAAACTGTCACAGTCATAGTAACATTGTGATGACACCAGCTGCTCGCAGAGTCTTTACTGATCCTTTACCAAAGAGCATCGATCCAACAGTCCACACCCAACAACATCTGGAGCGCAGTTCTCACTCACGACCACTTTTGGTGAATGTTTCTATGAAACCCCAAGTTTTCATATGTCAGGGACCCAGACAGATACGATCGGGTCTCCATATCTCCCGTTCAGAGGAAACAATCGTTCAAATGCAGAGCGAGTTCAGAGGCAGCTTCACGAGGCGCACCGACCTCGCACGCTTCCCCCTATCAGCCTGTTCCCGTTTCCAAATCATAAGGCGTCGTCTTCATTTAGACTCAGATACATTTTTGAAGCTCATGTACAACGTGCTGACCAGCGTCGCCTCCTCATGCATTGAGTCCTTTCCGTCGGACTGCCGCTGGCACAGGAGCGTCACCAGCCTCTTGGGGAACTGACCGCTGAACAGAAGGTAAATGCAGGGATTGGCGCAGCTGTTCAGACTAGCCAACAACATCAGGATGGTAAAAGTCGCAGCTGGAATGACAGGAGAAGAACAAATGAGTCATGTGTTTGCAAAGTATCCTTCTCACATATTAATATCTTCCGGGTTTCGTGCGTAAAAACGCACTTCTCGGATAGCGCGCCGAGACTCTGATGACTAATCATGTATTTAGAAATAAATCCCAAATAGAATAAACAGTAAAATAATAATAATTAAAAAAACACATCAAACTAAGAACCAGCCAGAAACACTTAATAAACTTACTTTCTTTTGGCGCATGTTCGTCCCAGGCGGACCAGAGCTGGACAGTGAAGAAGGGAGTCCAGCAGACAATATAAGCGAGCACGATGACCACTGTCATCTTCAGCGTCTTCACCCTGGCCTTGGACATTCCGGCCACACCGCTGGCTCTGGATGGAAAAGGGAGTCCCACGCTGCCCTGCTGATGGATCTTTTGGTACAGGTTGATCTGGATGGCTCGGCAGATGCGCACTTGACAAACAACAACTGTAATAACAGGTAAAACAAAAATGACCAGCGTGGTCCAGGTTATATAAGTCTGCAGCCCCCATGGCTGGATAAATTTAGCCCAGCAGTCAAACACGCCGGGTGCGACCTCGACCTGTGAGAAAATAAAAACCTGTGGCAAGCTGCCCAGCAGAGAAACCCCCCACGCGATGCACACGGGGACGTTCAGTCTTGTGCGCGTCCGCTGGAACTTCACCATCGGGTTGCAGACGGCTTGGTATCTGTCAACTGTCATCACCACGATCATGTAAGTCGATGAAAACATGCCGAGAACTTGCAGGTACTTCACCAGGCGGCACACCAGGTCTGGTCCAACGAATCTGTCCGTGATGTCCCACATGAGCTGCGGACACACCTGGAAGAAAGCGACCACCAGATCCGCCAGGCACAGGTGGAAGACGAAGACGCGCATCCTGGACATCTGTTTGCGCTCTCTCCAGAGGACGAGCAGCAGGGCGGTGTTGAGGATGGCCGCGCTGACGAAGATGATACTGAGCAGCGCGATCTCCACCTTGGCCAGAATCTCATCCCTTGCCACGTCCTCCTCATCCACGGAGTCGGTGTCGTTCAGGAGACGCATTGTGTTTGTGGTCGTTAATGCCTTCTGACAGAAGAACGGACTATAGGGGAATAAAAGGGCGGAAAGTCCAGTTATAGGTTATTGAATCATATCATATAATACTGGATTGTACATTTTCCAAAATAAAGATTACTGTGGAAACTTATTATATAGGCCCCACTGGCTCCGCCTGGTCAGAACGGAGTCTGTTATATAATTGAGGATTTTACCACTGAAGAAAGGTTTCGTTCGCTACAAGGGCCTATAAAATAAGACTACATATATTTCAACAATTATGTCAGTAAGGTATTTTACAGCAAACATTCCCACCTACCTTAAGGTGAATTGGAGCTCTACTTCCGTGGCCGCGCTCAGGTTGGGATTGGAGAGAGAGAGATGGGTGCTGTTGCTGGAGAAGGTCTCCACAGTTGGGCCCCTGTGTTTTATGACAGGATGAAACAGGGTGGAGCTTAGATTCATTTAGTGCTGAAAAATAGAAGAAGAAGAAGAAGAAGAAGAAGAAATACTTTATTGATCCCCTAGGGGGGAAATTGTTCAACGTTACCAGCGCCCCATGAGCAGGTTTTGGGGTTAGATTGCGTTGCTCAAGGGCACCTCGGCAGTGCACAGAAGGTGAAA